AAAAAAAAAAAAAAAAAGAATGTTTTCTCAGATGAACTGAGTATTGAAGGAAGGGATGGCAAGGTGGGTGGCAATAGAAAGCTATGAGGAGGCATTGTAAGAAAAGGAAATAATATATGCAAAAACAAAGAGCCATATTTAAGAGAGGTCAAATAATTCAAATTACAGAGTAAATGTTGTGATGAAATTGAAAAAGTAGCCTGAAGTCAGATCACAATTTGTGTGGCAAGCAAGGGTGTGGGGTCATTTCAAAATAAAACATTTATGGCAAAACAATAATTTATACTTATTGAAACTTCTTATGACATTCAGGGACTTGCCAAACACATAATATGTATTATGTTATGTAACCCTCACAATGAGCTGATAAGGTAGATAGTTTTCTGCATTTAATGGCCAGGGAAATAGACCCAGAAGAATTAAGTAAATAGCCTGAGTGTTAAGTGAGGGAGGTAGGATTTGTACTGAAGTCTGACCAACTTTAATGAATGCACACCTAACCACTATCCACTGGCCCCCTGTCAGCAGTGACCAGACAGAATTTTATAGAATTTAGACATGATGAACGAGTAGTCTCAGAGGTCATGGCTATTGAAGGCATGAGCAGGGGAGAAGCCTAATATGAACTCTGTCATAGACGCCTCTAGCATTTTAGGATCAATAATTAAAGTGTGGGCTAGAGTTGGCAGCACTGGCAGCATCACCTTTATAATAAATGCAGACTCTCAGCTCTCACCCCAGATCTACTGAGTCAGACACTGCATTTTAACAAGAACCCCAGGACATTCGTGTGCACCTTCAAGCTAGAGAAGCAGTGGTTTAGATACACAATGGCATATGCCAAAGACAAGTGATGCCAGGGAAAAAGTGTGGTAGCACAACTGGGCAACAGGTGTACCTCTCTCCATTCCCAACTGGGTTTGTGGGAGTGGAGTGTATATTATGGGAGATGCTTAGAAAAGGAGTTCCTTTTCTGCTGTCTTACATCTAAGAAATTTTACTTTTCCTAAAAGTTCCCCAAAGGAATCAGTTTAGTTGAAAATCCTTCAGTGTCAAAATAGAGTTGATTGATATGAACTGTTTATCAGACATAGATTACACATTAGAACTCAAGAAAAAAGTCAAAAGAAATGCCTCATCAATCATTAGCTATTTTAGAGGTGATCTAACTCCAAACTTCAAAAATTTGTACTTTGATTTGCAGCTGCTAATGATGCCATTAATTCCTACTGCTGCCCTGTGAACACACATTTCCTCATTGATTCAATAGCGATGTCTTTGCGTAGATCACAATTATAAACAAGCTTTAATCAAAGTCAAACAGAATTGCTTCTGTCACCTATACCTCTCTCTCTCCCCTCCTTCCCTTCCTCTGTCTCTATTTCTTTCTCTTTTACTTTCTAATAGATGGTTTGTGCTGAAGTCTGTGTTTATGAGGCAGAGTGTACAGTTGTGTGATCTTTTTGCTTTTGTGATCTGTTTGGAGACATCATTGTAGGGCATATGCTTGAACCTGGTCCGTCTTCCTCAAAGGACCCCTTACCTTGTTTTTGTTGTTCAGAGCTGAGGCAGGAAGCCTTGTAAGAAATCTGATTAGGTGATGCATCTTCAAATCAGATTACACCAAAGGGGATCAGGTGCCATCTGGGGACTTCATATGTGACAAAGTCCTGAACCATGTTCAAATCCCTCCACCAGTAAACAAAACAGTGTGAGAGTTCTAGGTATGCTGAAGCATAAAATTATTTCACGTCCTCATGTGCTGCTCCTCTTCCTTGTCCTGTGTTATGCTCAGTAGCCAAGTTGTGTACAGCACAGTCATTTCCATTAGAATTACATTGATGAGGTAATGGGCGGGAGATCCTAAATTGATGAGGTGATGGGCAGGAGACCCTAAACAAAACAAACGCTTGGCTTCTTTTCTTTTCTTGTGACTATCCGGAGCAAATACTTAGGAACACTTATCAGAAAGGTAAAATGTCAAACAATTTCATTTTTGGCAGCAGAATAACATTTCCCCCCCTTTAACGCAAACAAATGAGGATTTAAGGTTGTCTGTGAGAGAAATGCTTGTGAATCTGTAAAGTATATTTTCTGGAGAACAACACTAGGTAAGCACAATAAAGCGAAAGTCTAATGAGGAAGATTTCAGGACTGCAGAGCATGCTAGGAACCGGTTAGTGCGTTCTGTCTGGCGATTAGCATCACCTTGGATTAAATTAATTGGCTGTACTCAATCCCTGGGTAGACACGTTGAGAGTAAATCCAAAGACATTAGTTTCTCTGCACAAAATAAGGTTACATATACAGTGACATTTATCTGAACTATTCAAACAACTTACCCATCTTTTCCTTTTCTTTATAAGGAAGTTTCAAGTTCTGGTAAGTACAAAACTATTTGAAATCTTTCTTTTGAAAATGATGTGTTTGCTAGTTGTATTTTGTTCTCTATTTTATATCTAGATATCTGTGTCCTATCCTTATTAGAAAAAGAATGAATGTTACTAGTAATCATTGCCTTTTATCCCACTATGTCAGCAATCTTCACAATATGCTGATATGGAAGCAAGAGGGCACTTCTGTATCAGGAAACCAAGCAATTCTAGTTTATTCAAATGAATAAAGTTTATTTTGGTTCTGCTTATAAAAGTGCTCTATACTAGTTATAGAAATCAGTGCAACATTAAAGAAAAAGGAAGCTTCTTGTAATTCAACAATGCTGTGACTACCACAGTGGTATCCTTCCTTTTTGAATCCCTTTTGCCCCAATTCTATCCCAGAGAGTTATAGATATTTGAAATGAACTAATCCTTGTAACATTGAGTTTTTGAATTACTGTAAGAATGAACATTCTGTCTGTATTAATTTTCTGTTTTATTATTTATGAATTGCCTGAATTCCTACTATGTGGTAGAAAATTAAATTTAAACTATAATTAGTGAAACAGCGTATGTATTTTTAAATTTGTTGTGTTTTGTCAAGTGACTGGGGGAGTGAAGAGTGAAGGCATAGTCCTTTCATTAAAGGCAACTACCTCTGTAAGTTGACCATCCAAGGGATTGTAACAAACTGGTCACCATATGGAAGTAGCAACATAAGGAATGTCCCTGGAGTATGTGTGGTACATGCCTGGTATATGAAAATTAGGTCAACTTAAGGAGGTGGTTAATGCAGGGAGGTGGTCAACTATGGAGGTTCGACTGTATTTCATTCTGAGCAGCACAGCCTTAAATGCAATGTCCAACACACTGAGTGCATGACTGAATCCATTGATGGCACAGATAAGCCTAACTATGGTTGAGACTAAGGAACAAAAGAGTGTTGAAAATATGCTAATTGTAAAAAGCAATTAAAGTATTTATGAGAGCTCCATGGTCTAACTTTAGGCAATGGCTCTTCTTTTTGCTGAGAAGCTGGGAGGTTATTGGTGACAAGATGTCAAGTTGGGGAGCGGTAAAGTGATTTTGTACACCAGCTTCCTTGTTACCTCTCTGGAAGTCAGTAGTAATGAAAGCGGAGGACCTTAATATACTATAATTTCCTGGTTATCTCTTCCCACCTCCACTTCTCTTTCATCCTAAACTTCTTGGAGAAGAATTAACCATTTCAGGCTGCTTTATTTGTTTGTCCCCTAGGGAGTCCCTAAGTATATTACTGCCTTATCCCAACTTTAGAGGGCTAGAATCAACCTTATTAATAAAAATGGATGTAAAGAAACATGGCATAATTTCCATCCAAGTCCTAATTGGTTTTTAAAACTGACTAGTAAAGTGGCACAATTAAGACAGGATCACTTACAGTTATGGAGGTCTGGTTTCACAAAAGGGGACACGATGCTGTCAGGACTTAAACATACTGCGAATCTTGCTCTCATGTGCTGGCTAGCTGCCACAGCATCTCTGCTTTCTTCCTGCATCTCCACTACACCCCCCAATCCTTCAGGCTGCATAAACCACCCCTCTTTGATATTCTCTTGGCATCCCACTCTTCTTCAAGTGTTATTGAATTACTCTGTGAACTTCCCATAGACCTGGTTAGAAATGCATATGGTTAGGACCGGGCAAAGCTTCCACTTTCTTTGGAAAGAATCTGGCTTGCATCCTCTTCTCTATGATAACACTGTGCACTGAATGAACATGAATTTTCATCTCATTTGTGTTTTACACACAAGACCCACCTTACCATGGGCTCTTAAGCCCTACCCTGAAAGTATCCAGTATCTTGACACTCCCTGAAACTTCCCCAGTGACATCTAGGAGTTCCCAGAGATTCTCTTATTTGCAGTGAGGATCAAACTTATATGTCTGCTTTGTTTTTGTTATAACTTCCTCATCAACAAGTTGCTGTCTGGTAGCCACCTGTTGTAGGTACCTTCTCTGCAAATGCTTCTCCACTGTTGGGCATCTGGCATGTTATCCAGGCATGGTACCTTCTGCTTCTGCCTTTCAAAACCAGTGCTCAGTGCTGGGCAGCAGTGGGATAGGGAAATGAGGGCTGCCTTTCTCCTATTATTGCTTTTATCTTTCATATTCTCCCTTCTGGTCCCAGGATGAAATATATTTTTTTTCTTATTTTAGCCAAAAATGAACCAAACCAAACTATCCACAAACATCTTAGCATATTGGCTCACATAAATGTGTTTACAAAGTGATCACCAGGTTAACAGTTCTCCAAATAGTGAGATCCAGGCAGAAAACAAGTGACTTTAAAAGTCTCTTAATGTAGTTACACATACATAAATATCATTTTCCAAAATTAGTGAAAAATGTATCTCAAATGTTATTCATTTGAAATAATTTGAAATGAACATGTAAATAAACCAACCCGAAAAGTAATTGGAGGCAAAGAGTTCTGAAGTCTTATTTAGATACAGAATGAATTCATTCTCCTTACGGTTGATGAGGGCATGGAGATTAAGCAGCCAGCCCAAGGTCAGAGTACAGTTTATCAGATGAGGATGAGAAGAGGTCACAGTTTTGCTGACTCCATCTCCATCGCAAAGCCGGATTCCCCAGCTCCTGATGCACACACCTGCTGCTACACTACAGCTACCTTTTGGTCTTGAGCACTATAATTACTTTAGACCTCTGCAGAAAGGAGAAGGAGAGACTGATCTTCAAATGCTTTTTCCTAAATTACATATAAATAAGATTTGCAAATTGGATTGGAAATATATGAAGATACTTAGAGAGTAGGTTGCAAACATTTATGTAGGTGATTTGGGCCAGATTTATGGCTGATTTATAATGATAAACATGCCTTTTCCCATCTCTATAACACCAATTATATCTATTTTTTTATTCCATTTATCTTCAAGGATGGAGGGCTTTCTTACTTTGTCAAAAGACACTAATAATTACATTGATTTAAAACAGTAGGAAATAGACAAAAAAGGACACAAGGAAAAATAAGCCCAGAACCAAATAAACTCCAAGCTGCTCATTTGTAAATCAGACTCTCGTTTCACTGAGAATCGGAAAAGAAAAACCTCAGTGGTTTGCTGAAAATGTCTCTTCTTGAATTCCCTCTCAAAGTTTTAATTTTAGAACTACTAGTGGGAGCAGTTACCAGATTGTACCATTGTTAGCAGCCCACAGCAATTTCATCTTTCATTCAAAGAACATTAGTGTAGTGCGCTGTTTCCCAAAGCAGATAAGTGATTGTCAGATGATTTGCCTGCATTTTCTCCAATCTGCAGTGGAAACATCTGATGCTTTCTTAATATACATGTGGCCCTTATTTAAGGAACTATGTGATACCTTCCTCCTAGAACTTAACGCCAGGTACATTTTCCTCCAAAAAATGGAGCTCATTTGATTCTATCCAATAGACAGTTTGAAACAGACAATTTGAACTTTAAAACCTTTTCCTGTTTCCCACTTTCCCTTTATTGCTAGGACCTGAAGGACTAAAATGATGAATTATAAAACTTTGGATAGGCTCAGCGCCTGTGGCTCAAGCGGCTAAGGCGCCAGCCACATACACCTAAGGCGGTGGGTTCGAATCCCTAGCCCCGGCCCGCCAAACAACAATGATGGCTGCAACCAAAAAATGGCCAGGCGTTGTGGTGGGCGCCTGTAGTCCCAGCTACTTGGGAGGCTGAGGCAGGAGACTCCCTTGAGCCCAGGAGTTGGAGGTTGCTGTGAGTGTGATGCCATGGCACTCTACCCAGGGGGATAGCTTGAGACTCCGTCTCAAAAAAAAAAAAAAAACCAAAAAACAAAACTCTGGATAGTTTCTGATTTGTGTCTCTTTTTTTGTTATTTTTAAAACTGTGCAGTATTAACTGTTAATTTTAAAGATTCACAAAATTTAGCAATGTATTAAAGACACAAACATTATCTATAATCCTGCCATCCAGAGATAACCACCATCAACAACAGGCTGTTATATATTTCTGGACTTTTCCCCATTCCCATAATCATGTGCTATGTAATGATGTTTCAGTCAGCAGTGTAATACATATGACAATGGTCTCAAAAGATTTTTTTTTTTTTTGTGACCTATGATTTTTGTTTTTAATTATGTTATGATCACACATAATTTTAAAATTTGTGTATATCTCTTCTATTTTAATCCACGTAATGAGTTGGCAAAAGCACCATTACCAATCACACACAATACAGTTGTTAAACAGTTTTATGTGTTTCTGAAGAGTTGTTGAAAGACAATCCCAAATTATAACTTAGCCTGACTTAGGTAGTAAATAATTCAAGTTTAATTTGCCATTTCTTGACATATTGACTTTTAAAAGCATGGCCTTATAGATTGTCTATAAGAGAAATGTTAAATATTCTTTATTTGACGTTACACATAAACCACACTAAAATGCCTTTCGATAAATAAAAGGCAGCATTTTAGTAGATCCAGGGAAATTAGATTGGCATAATAAAGATTAAAAGTACAAAGCAAACATTGCTACCTTCTCTCCAGCCCTCACCTTTAATAGGCTAACGGAACACCAATTAAAACATCAGTGAGTCTTGCTTGGTTCTGAGACAGTGAGGGGATTTCTCCAGTATTTAAATATATTCACATTATCAGTTATATAAATCTTAATATAAAACCAATCTTCGATAGACTTTGGGATGGCAATTGACTACCTTTGTGAAAAGGTAAACATCACTAAATCTGAACATATCTTTAGAAATGGAAAACAGTGATAGCATTTATTGAACTGGAATCACTATCAAAATCCAAAAAACCGATCATATTCATTTAACCACAAGCCAGTCTTAGTTAAATCGGGACTGTCCAACAAAAATATTCTGTCACTCATTCATGATCTGAATTCTGGTAAATGAGACCAATCAAATTATGGTACACATAAAAAAAAAGCCATGAGATATTTCTCTTTTGTAATAAATAAGGCAATGGCCAACTATTACTCATTTGTAGCTTTTTTGAGATAAGCTATCAAGTCTGCCCTTTCTCCCTTCTTCTTAATGCCAGCGAAGATCATTTTTGTTCCAGGGATGTACTTCTTGGGATTCTCCAAATACTCCATCAGTGTGTCCTCTCCCCAGGTTATGCCTTTGTTCTTATTGGCATCTGTGTAAGAGAAGCCAGCAGCCTGACCTGTCTTCCTCCCAAAGAGGCCATGGAGATTTGGCCCAGTTTTGTGCTTGCCTCCTTTTTCCACAGTATGGCACTGGGCACACTTCTGAACAAAAATCTTCTTGCCTTTCTCAACATCACCCATATTTAATTCGCTCTTTGGTTGCTGACAGTACCAAAATCCCGAGCTGGAAGTCGGACGTCCCGCTCTCTAAGTCCAAGGACACGCCGGGCCTCAAAAGATTTTAATACTGTATTTTACTGTACCTTTTCTATATTTAGATATGTTTAGATACATAAATACATAAACACTGTGTTGTAATTGCCTACAATATTCAGGACGGAAACATGCTGTACAGGTTTGTAGCCTAGAAGCAATAGGCTATATGAACTAGGTATGTAGTAGGGTATATCATCTAGGTTTGTGTAGATTTAAACTCAGATATGTGATGTTCATATGAGGCTGAAATTTCCTAATGATGCATTTCTCAGACTGTATCCTCATTTTTAAGCCAGAATATGTTTTACAAGGTTTTTTTGCTGAGTAATAGGTCCCAATCATATTTCTATGCTAAAAAATATAGCTCAGTGAAACTGTGTTTAATGGTTGCATAGTTTTCCATTGGTTAGCAATATGTCATGATGATATTTACAAGCCAAAAATACATATCTATAAAGTTGTGTTGTTGATGGTTGCATAGTTTTCCATTGCATGAGTGTACATGTCATTATTTACTTTGGCCTTTATAATGCACAGAGGTTGTTTTTAATTTTTAAATTATAAATATCCTTACTTAACCGTTTCATTTATGTCTTATTGTAAGTCCCATAAAACTATCTTTCAAAATTAACAGGTATAATGAATGAATACATGAATAAAAGAATAACTCCCAGGAATATCCTGGATGTCTACAGCTATACTCACGTACTTGCATTACTCTCTGTGGTGCTGTCATTCAGGAGATGAACAATTTTCTTTCCTCTCTAGGTCTCAGCCAAAATGAGTGAAACCCCTTCTACTACTTTTTCCATGATTCATCCTATTTCTTCTGAAGGTCAAGTTCCCTCTCGCTATTCCAGTGTAACTAATCCAATTGTGGCCAAACGGATCAGCTTCTACAAGAGCGGAGACCCTCAATTCGGTGGGGTCAGGGTGGTGGTCAACCCTCGTTCCTTTAAGACTTTTGATGCTTTGCTGGATAACTTGTCCAGGAAGGTACCCCTGCCTTTCGGAGTGAGGAACATCAGCACCCCGCAGGGAAGGCACAGCATCACGCGCCTGGAGGATCTGGAGGATGGCGAGTCTTACCTGTGCTCTCACGGCAGGAAGGTGCAGCCGGTGGACTTGGACAAGGCCCGTCGGCGTCCGCGGCCCTGGCTCAGCAGTCGAGCAGTCAGTGCGCATGTGCCGCCCTGCCCCATAGCCGCTGCAGCTCCCGGCATGCCCCGCGGGCCGAGGAAGCTGGTGGTTTTCAGGAATGGCGACGCACGGACGAAGCGAGCAGTCCTTCTGAGTAGGAGGGTCACCCAGAGCTTCGAGGCTTTTCTGCAGCACCTGACGGTGGTCATGCAGTGCCCAGTGGTCAAGCTGTACTCCACAGATGGAAGGAGGGTGAGCAGTTGAGGGGCTTCTCACATCTGAGCTCGCGTTGGATGTGCTGTGTGTTCGCTTGCGTGTGTGCATGTGTATATGAGTGTGAGTGTTTGTGTGAGCCCATGAACGGTGTGTGTTTTCTGGTGAGAATCTGACAGGGGTCTCTTATTTGGCCCACCTTCCCTCCCCTTTTCTGTTTCCTGAGCATCATTATTGACAATATTTTTTGAAAATGAGGGACCAAGAGTAGTATTTTTTAAAGGGGAATCTGAGCTGCTCCCCCACCCTGGCCCCGCATTTGGTGTTTCCAATTTTTTTTTTCTCCTCTTTGGTGGGAAAAGTATCTTTTTAAAGCCTGAGAGGGTGTAGAGTTGATTTAAAGTCGTAAAAGTATCCTATGGAAAGAGCAAAACTTTCCCAAGAAGGATCGTAACTCTTTGGTTTCTTCTAGGTTTCCAGTCTACAGGCAGTGGTTCTGAGCTCTGGAGCTGTGGTAGCAGCAGGAAGGGAGCCTTTTAAACCAGGAAATTATGGCATTCAAAAGTACTTGCTTCCTGCTAGACTGCCAGGGATCTCTCGTCGTGTGCACCCCAAGGGAAATGTGAGGCCAGAAAGAAGAAAGAGTAAGTCACTTATACAACCCATATTTTTAGCCTTGATATGTATTTTTTTCCTTCAACAACAAAAACTCATGCTTATGTCACCAATTTCCTTCATTACAGAAGAGAAAATACGAGAGGATTAAAAACAGTCTAGACTATATTGGTTATATTTATAGTTGGAAGGACTTATGCAGATTACCTGATAATTTTTTTACACTTTTTCCAATGACATATTTATTTAAATTCATGAGGTATGCTTTTTTGCATAAAATATATAGTTAAAAATGTCAGCATTTCTTGCTTTGGAGAGGAATTCTGTGGATCTATGTAAGTGACACCTCTGGTAGTTGCAGAGTTTTCTCTAAATATACTGTGCAGCATTCATATCTGAGCTCAGTAGGTCAGTGGAGCGACTGTATTTTGTCAAATTTATGCTGTATACTCTACTGTCTGAAGTTATTCCTGTGAAAATCACGGGTCTTTAAATTCACTTTTGATTTATTAAAAATAGTTTCATGCAGCTAATTCATATTGTTTAACAATAATTTAGGTTCCTTAGCCTCTGCTGTAATGATGTGGGATTATCTTTTGGATAGGGAAGAAAGAGGGCCTCTTGAAGCCCAAGGCTATAAATTCCCTATGCAGGCATGGCTAATGTCATTATTAATTGTACTCAATATTTCTAGGCAGACTTTAGCTCTTTGCTGAGGTACTGATTGGCATTTATACTTGTTTTCACTTTTGTTCTCTTTAGACATGGGAGAATTTATATTTTAGCTAGTAGTCTTCTCTTATTTTTAATGAGGATGAACTCATTTATTATTTATTGTTGTCATTTAATTACTTTGTGGTGGATGTATTCAATGGACAATTATTAATGCTCCTATTTGGCTTCCTTTTTTTTTTTTTTTTTTTTGGAGACAGAGCCTCAAGCTGTCCCCCTGGGTAGAGTGCCGTGGCATTACAGCTCACAGCAACCTCCAACTCCTGGGCTCAAGCGAGTCTCCTGCCTCTGCCTCCCAAGTAGCTGGGACCACAGGCGCCCACCACAACGCCCGGCTATTTTTTGGTTGCAGCCGTCATTGTTGTTTGGAGGGTCTGGGCTGGGGATTTGAACCCGCCACCTTAGGTGTACGTGGCTGGCGCCTTAGCCGGTTGAGCTATAGGCGCCGAGCCGGTATTTGGCTTCCTAATGCTATATGTTATACGTATGGTAGTACTATTTCATTTTGGTCATTTTACTAAAATGATTATATATATTTTTTAAAGGCTTAAAAAATTTATTTATTTATTTTTTGAGACAGAGTCTCACTTTGTTGCCCTGGATAGAGTGCTGTGGCATTATAGCTCACAGCAACCTCAGAGATTGTCTTGCTTAAGCCTTCTCTGAATAGCTAGGACTGCAGGAGCTCGCCACAGCTAGGTTTTTCTGTTTTTCTATTGACAAGATGGGTGTCTCGCTCTTGCTCACGCTGGTCTCAAACTCCTGAGCTCAGGCTTTTCACCCTGCTCAGCCTCCCAGAGTGGTAGGTTCACAGGTGTGATCCACTGTGCCTGGCCTAAAATAATTTATTGTTTTTACCTGATAATGGGTTGTTAAATATGATTTTTGATTACTTTAGGGAATCTGAGGGTTTTATTACATTTTACTTCAAAAAATTAGAAGTGAGATATTTTTATTTACAATTTCAGTGAAAGTATAGAAGAAATAAGAGAAGATATTTCTGGTTTTTAACTTTGAAATGTTAAAGGTGTTTACCTGATGGCAAGTGTATGCAAATCTGTACAGACTGCTAATAGAAATTTGATTGAATTTAAGAAGCGGGAGTGCCATGAGTAATCAGTTAATGCTAAAGATCCACATTAAAAAGAACCTAATATCCAGGCTTAAGTCTAACTCTGTTCTCTAAATTGGTATAGCTGATTTATTATATGTAGGATCCAAAAGAGAACAGTAAATATTAATTAAAAGTGATTAGTGAATAGTAAATTGAAAGTTATTACTTTATTAATCCAGTCTTAAATAAATTCTAAAAATGTTTCTGATTTCATAAAGCTACAGATATCTCTTTTGGTTATATGCAGATAGGAAAATGAGTACCACCATAAATTATTATTTTCCCTGTTTGAATAGATAAGCAGTTCTTAGTTAGACTATAGTTTCAGTATTGGGAAACAAAATGGCAAAAGAAAAACCTACAAAAGAATTTTATTTTTTGGTAGAATCCTTAGAAATTTATGTGTTTTTTAATTAAAATGACCTTATTAAATGTGTTAAAATGAAAATTCTGTGAATCTCCTCATTGAAATGGAATTATAGGTCTTTTATAAAGCATGGTTTGAAGAAATGTACTAATATTACAGTAAGTTTTCTCAAATAACCATTAAATATATAGAGCTCAAAAATCTATCAATAATATTATATTATGAAGTACAGAAAATATTTTTTTTACTAATTATTTCCTTTTTTCTTTTCTTTCTTTGCTGCCTATTCCACTGGATGTTTATTACTTCTCTGCCTTCCATATTATATTTTGATGTGGGTATCTTTTATTCTTAAAATCTTGAAAGTGAGCATACGTATGCCTTCAAGTACAAAGTCTCAGATTTATTCTGTTTCTTCTGACAAAACACATAACAATGATTGCTACTCAGACTGTTCTTTTGCTCCTGAACATTACTTGGCCTTAGAAAAAAATGATTCTCAGAGTTTATCAATATATCCTTCTGAAGATGATATTGAGAAGGCAATTATTTTTAATCAAGATGGCACTATGACAGTTGAGATGAAAGTTCGATTCAATATAAAAGAGGAGGAAACCATAAAATGGACAACCACTGTCACTAAAGCTGATCTTTCTAATAATGATGAGAAGAGTGAGATAAGGAATATTTCAAGAAAAATAGACAGTGGATCTCCTAGTTTAGAGCTTACAAAATGTTCACTGTCTGCAGATGTCTCACCTCTGGCAAAAGGCTTCAATAAAGGGGGCAATTTGGCAGAAGAGTTAAATGCTGAAATGACAGATCAAGAGGCTGAAACGTGCAGTTCTGCTAGTTGGGAGAATGCTGCTATGGACACAGATATCATTCAGGGAAGTCAGGGTCAAGCAAAGCATCATTTTTATAGGCCCCCTACACCTGGACCAAGGAGAGTAAGACAGAAGAAATCTGTGATAGGGAGTATGACCTTAATGTCTGAAACTGAGGTTCAGGAGAAAATGATTGGACAGTTTTCTTATAGTGAAGAAAGGGAACGTGGGGAAAACAAATCTGAGTATCACATGTTCACACATTCTTGCAGTAAAATGTCATCAGTATCTAATAAACCAGTACTTGTTCAGATCAATAACAATGAACAGATGGAGTCATCGTTAGATAGAAAACAGAAAAGTAGACTGGTCAAATCAAGTGCAGTAAGTGCTGGTGTTATAGAAATTACAAGTCAGAAGATGTTAGAGATGTCTAATAATGGCTTGCCATCAGCTATATCAGAGAATTCAATTGTGGAAGAAGGTGTAGTTGACAGTATTATTTCAGACAACAAAACTTGTATCAAGAACTTCAGAACTTATGATAACACCAATGATAGGTTCAGTCCTGTTTCGGCAGATGCAACTCATTTTTCAAGTAACAACTCTGGAACTGACAAAAGTATTTCTGAAGCTCCACCATCAGCATCCTCTATTGTCAACACAGGAATTGACAGACTAATTAATGAATTTGCTCAATGTGGTTTAACAAAACTTCCAAAAAATGAAAAAAAGAGTTTGTCTTCTGTTACTGGCAAAAAGAAAAGGAAGTCACGACAACAGGTAATAAGCTCCAGGTATCAGGAAGGGCAGATTACAGCTAAAGGGATGCCCAATAAGAAAGAGAGAATAAACATAGGTGGTAGAATTGCACGAGAACCCATATTGCAAGATTCCCACAGTCTCCTTAGAGGAGGGATACTTTGTGAGGAAGACTTACAGGCAAGTGATATAGTCATTAAATCAGATCATCTTCGTTCCAAAAGTAATTTTAATACCATGATTTCTAAGAATTTCTCCAGAAATAAATTAAATACTAAAAATCCTAAAGTTCAAGGACTTTTAGTGAAAAGGAAATCCAGACCACGAAAGAAAGTAAGTTTAGGAAGACCTAAAAAAAGAGAAATTGGTCAAGGAGATAACTTGTTTCCTCATAATGAATCTAAATATTGCAAAAGTACTTTTGAAGATCAGAGTTTATTTCATGTATTTAACCTCCTTGAGCAAAACCCCAAAACTTCTCAAGCAGAAATGGCATCTGGGTATTTGAAAGGAATGTCAAAGAAGAGTTTAATTTCAAAAGTTAACGATTCACACATAACTTTAAGAGGCCAGAAAAAACAAAAAAAGGATAAATTGAAATCAGGTGCTATTGTAAGTAAACAACATGCTACAACCAGGGCAAATTTCTTAGCTTCTTTGAAAAAAGATGGTTTTTCTGAGGATATTGCCCATCATTCTGTTCAAAATTACATACATAGTTGGTTGCAGGACATAAATCCATATCTAACTTTACAACCTAGAAAATTAGCTCCAATATGCAAAAATGAAATAAGTGTGATAAGTTCTAACAATAATGATTTTCCAGGGAAGAATCCTCTTATAAGTTATGGAAAAAGAAATAATATTCTTATGAAAAGTAATAAGCACATAACTAAAAAAGCCAATTTGGCAGGAGATAATCTGTATGGAGAGGGAGGCAAATCTCTTACTGTGAAAGATAATGATGAAGAACTTACCAATGATTTCTGTGAGAGCCTGGTTGGATCTTTGAATGATGCTTACTTGATTTCATTGCATGAACATGATGCTTTGTCACAGTTAGCTCTTAATGATCATAATACTAAAAGTCATGTGTCTGCTGAAAAATCAGAACCAGAGATAAACCTTGTTTACCAAGAAATTAATCCAACTAGAAAAGGGCAAAATGTAGAGGCTGCTATTCAAGTAGGTCCTATGGAAGAGGAAAATCGAAAAGACCTCTTACCAGTCCTGTTGCTTCGTGAACTTCAAGCTTCAGTTCCTGGTATTCATAAGACTCAAAATGGAGTTGTTCAAATGCCAAGTTCCCTTCCAGATGTTCCTTTTCCTTCTGTAATATGTAATTCATCCACTAATCTCCTTCTAGCTTGGCTCTTGGTGCTAAACTTAAAGGGAAATATCAATAGCTTCTGTCAAGGTGATGCTCACAAGACTACCAAGAGATCTTCAGAAACACTTGCATTGTTGGAGATTTTAAAGCACATTGCCATCAAAGAGGAAGCTGATGACTTAAAGGCTGCTGTTGACAGTTTAGTGGAGTCAACCACAAATCATTTCAGACTCAGTGAGAAAGAAGAAAATGTAGTTCCAGCAGGTCTTTCTGAAAATTATTCCACAGCCAGCACTCAGAGAGTTCCTGAGTGTAATGAAAACAAAAGAACACAGAAAATATTATCTTTGGATAGAGGCAGCTCTGCCAGTGAGGTCTGTGCCCCTGAAGTCTGTGTTTTGGGAATGACTTGCTCTCCTTGTGAGATGAACACTACAAATAAGAATTATTCTCCAAAAGAGTCTGGTAACCCCAGTGACACTTTTAGTCCTAGTGATGATTATGCCATGGATCAGACCTCCATGAATACGGCTTCTTTCCTAGGAGAGGTCTGTTCACTCACTGATGCTGTTTCTTCCCATAAGGCTTGTGCTCAAAAGGAGAATCATATCAATGAGGCGTCATGCCCAAATGATGAATCCTACATTCCTGTCAAAGTCTTCAATACCACTGACTTTTTAAATTCCAAAGAAAACACATATACTGATAACTTGGAATTAACTGAAGGGTTAAAAAGAGATGACAAAGTTGAGAAAGACCTAAATATTTTGTCAGACCCTGGTTATAAAAATGGCTTTAATACATTGGTGTCACATCAAAATGTCATTAATTTAAGCCGCTGTGGTGGTGTGCTAAAGGAAACTGAACTGGAATTTGATAAGAAACATAGTTCTCTAGATGAATTTGAAAATTGTTCACTACAGAAATTTCAGGATAAAAGTGCACATCCATCCTTTGATAGGGAAGAATCAAGGACTTCTGAAGAACCAGACTCAATAACTAACAGTGTGACTTCAAGTGAAAGAAATATTTCAGAATTGGAATCTTCTGAAGAGTTAGAAAGCCAGGACATTGGTATGTTTAATACAGAGGTAAATGCTGGAGAGCAAGCCACTGAAGAATTAATCAAAAAAGAATTAGAGGATAGTAAAAATTTAGAATTGATAGATATCTCTAATAGGAACATTATAGAAGAAGAAAGAAAAAATGGTGTAATTTGTGAGACAATCAGTAAAAGGATGACACCACCTTCTTTAGTTTTTTGCTATGATTCAAAATTAAATAGTGAAAAGGAGACCAATGAAAGAGAAAGTAACATGAGGGTAAAAACAATGGTGAAAAGCATGGAAACTGGAAGTTATTCAGAGTCCTCTCATGATTTCAAAAGAGGCTTTAGAACTCCAGTGACTTCTGATTGGTCAGATTATAGACCAGATAGTGACAGTGAACAGCCTTATAAAACTTCCAGTGATGACCACAATGATAGTGGTGAACTTGCTCAAGAGAAAGAATATAATATGGGATTTGTTAAAAGGGCAATAGAGAAGCTTTATGGTAAAACAGAGATTGTAAAACCATCTTTTTTTCCTACACACAGATCTCAGGTTTGCCCTTACAATTCTGTGGAATTTCAGAGTGTGAGGAAATCAGGTATTTATGATTCTGAAGGTCATTCATTTGGCTCTTCTGAACATGTATCTAGTAGTTCACCTATGTTGCAGGAATTCGAGGAGGAAAGACAAAATAAACGTACTATTAATGTGAGGGATAATTATGGGGGTAACAGTATAGAATCTGATACAAAACAAAATGATTATAAGAGAATTCTGGGAGAGGTAGAGGAAGGAGTACTGATTGACAAAGGCAAATGGCTCCTGAAAGAAAATCATTTGCTAAGGGTGTCATCTGAAAATCCTGGCATGTGTGGCAGTGGCGATACCACATCAGTGGATACTTTACTTGATAATAACAGCAATGAGGTACCATATTCACATTTTGGAAATTTGGCCCCAGGTCCAAGCATGGCTGAACTATCCTCTTCAGAACTGGAGGAACTAACTCAACCCCTTGAACTAAAATGCAGTTATTTTAACATGCCTCATGCTAGTGATTCTGAGCCTTTTTGTGACGATTTATTAGATGTTAGCAACAAAATCTATGCCAAGGAAAGAATACCAAATCATCATAGAGAGGAGAAAGGTAATCTTCAGTCAGAAAAAGTATGTACATCTGTCACTCATGCTTTTACGCCTGCTGGTAACAAAGTCCACCCTGTTTCTGATGATGCTATTAAAAACCAGCCATTGCCCAGAAATAATATGATTAATAGTGTGCTTCAAGAAGGTGACTCTTTGGATAAACTCTATGCTCTTTGTGGTCAACATTGCCCAATATTAAATGTTATTATCCAACCTGTAAATGAGGAAGACCGAGGATTTGCATATCGCAAAGAATCTGATATTGAAAATGCCTTGGGTTTTCATTTGTGGATGAAAATATACCCATGCTTACTAAAGTCAAACAAAAACATGTTCAGGAATAAGAACAATGAAGGAGGTATGAGAAAAGAATTTATTGATGATGCCATTGGGGATACATCTGATCAACTTTATTTCAGTTACATATTTGACTTGATGGATAAAAGAAGAAAACAAAAGAGAATTAAGTTCTTAGAAGTAGTGGAAGAAAGTGATTTTAAAAAATTTCAATCATATTTAAAGAAAAGATTTTGTATGAATTTCTGGCATACATTGTTAGTTGTGGGTGATATAAATTCAAATACACAAGACCCTAGCAGTTGGATAAATGAAATATTTAAAGCAGTTGATGAGAATAACAACTTGTTGAATAACAGATTTCAGAGCTTAAGAACAAATCTCAACCAATTAATAAGAGCAAATATCAACTATCATTTCTCTTTTGAAATGCTTGGTCAAGCATGCCTGTTAGATATTTGCCAAGTTGAGATATCCTTAAATATTAGCAATGTAAACATACTAGAAATACTTTGTTTTTTTGAGGGTGAAAATATTTTCATTTGGCAAGAGGAAACCAATTAAATTTAATTGATTTTGAAAGCACCGATGAGTAAGAATATTTATAATTTCAATATCAGTACAGCCTTTCTCTGTCAATACATCTTTCCCCCATAATAAGATGAAGCATGTGTAATGGATTTGGTCTAGATAACCTCTAAGAATTTCTTACTTCCTTAAAATGAGTTTACTTTAAGAAAACTTACCCTTGGATAAATTAATTTGACTTTTATCTTTTCTCTGTTTATTTTTCTAACAATTAGAGACTCAGTTTCTATTTTGTTATGAAGATTCTGTGTGATTTTGTTCTGAATTTATACGATATTTTGCTTAGGGAATCAAAATATGCTAAGGACAAGAATTATATCTTTTCTTATGTTTCTTGGTATAAAATGTATAGTGATTGTGTTGGCGAATAAATGGAATGGACGTAATTTCAAAGCACTTCATTATTTCATCTAATTTGGTAAAAGGTATGATTATAAGATTTGTATAACAATTTCATGGTTTTTGGTACCAAATATATGTTCAATTCCCTCAGAACATCTATCTAATGAAGATGTTAACAATTCCATAGGACAGGATTTACTGTTTCCTCAATGTTTGTTTAGCAAAAGATGGTCCACCACCAAGCTGTCTCTGCAGTATTTTTCTTGGAATTATAATCTTTTAAAAATTAGTGAAATTTCACAAAATCCAGAGAGATCAGAAAGAAGGGAAAACATATAAGATCTCCTCTGTGAAGGCAAATTAAAGACACTAGAATGATTTAACCTAGAAAACAAAAAAGAATGGTGAGTTTAAAATTCTCTTCAAGGTGAAAAAGAATTGTGAAGACCTTGACAGATTTCCTTTCATATTTACTTGCATTAATAAAACATTTTTTAAGATATAAATGAAAACATATTGTTGCCTAGAAGGATAAATAAATTTGACTGGACTATCAACCATAAATTGTTTTGAGTAATTGTGGTATATTGAGTTAACCAGGAAACCTTTTAAGATTCCTTCTACTCCATGACAATGTGATAGCATAGAAACGACTCCTAGAAAACTTGGAAATCTGTGTCTTTTGTCTATAGCTGACTCCAAGTAGAATGATTAACATTCCTGGAGCCACACAGGGAGGTACTAAAATAACATAAACTTGACATTAAGGAAAAAAAGGTAATTAATTACAGTTCAGCATGAATCAGAAATTCATAAAAAATTATGAATTGCTACTTTATCAGCAGAAGACTGCCTCTACGTAGTGTATCCTTTTTCTACATTAAGTGATGCTGTCTTCTAGTTGAAATATGGAAAATTATAGTGTTACGTAAGTTTCTGTAGTGAGCAGTGAGAAACTGTAGTGAAATAAAAAGATATAACATTTTGGAGAAAAAAACAGAAAAGGGAAAAGAATTCATATTCATTTTGTTCCTGTTGTGTACCAAGGGGTATGGTAGACTTGCAGGTTTTTTATATGTAATCTTTCCTCACAGGGCACTGTGAGTTTGACTTTATTACTATTCCCCCTCCCCTTTTGATAGATAGGAGAACTTAGGAGCAGGGAAGTGAAGTACTGTCATCACTACTTTATAGTAGGTGTCATCTCAGGATTTGAGTCCATTCCTTTGTGCTTAAAAATCAGTGCTCTTTTAAATTACATCTTTATTTTTTTTTTAATGTGAGGAAGAAGGAATAGATATTTTTAAGAAACTGGCACTGATTTTCTAGTGTACAGACATGAGGAAATTGTATTTTTAATTTTGAAAGTGTGATATTTAGGCATACCAAGGAGATTGAGGAAACCACTCATAAAAACCAGGAGTTTTAGAAAAATTTGGCATGCAGCATCTGTTTTTAGCAACAATACTACATTAAACAATGTCCTTGGTGGTCCAGATGACAACTGGGAAAGAGAAATTGGAATAACAATCACACATTAGTAATGCAAGACTGTACAACATACTTTTTCTTTAAACATGTTCATATGTGTTGAATTCTGACATCTAGGGCCACATTGTATTCCTAGAACTAGCAAATTACTTGGGACAGGGTAAGCACCTAGTAAATGTGTGTTAATTGGGTAAGATGTAGTTTTGAAGACACTAATTCTTTCTTTACTTTATTTGAGAGCCATACGTGTAGAAAGATATGCAAATATGATAGAACTAAGTTTTTTTTTGTAGTTTGTGAAGGCAAATCAGGATTTCAATTATCTTTAAAATGTGTATGAAGATGATTTTTTTTGAAACATTCAAAGGATGTTTTCAGAACACTTGTATTAAAAATACATTGTGAAAATTTAGAGGACTAAGTGATACTGTAGATAAAATTTATGAATATTTTACACACCTAGATTTTGTCTTAGAGATAAAGTGCCTGAAGGGCTAAGGAAAGGAAGAGAGGCTCTTCTATTCAGGAGAATATATAGTCAAATTTAGTGTCTGTTCCTGAGATGGAGTGGTGAAGTTATTGTTTATGCCCACCAGAGGGCAGCGGTGCTGTGTGCTGCCAGATCAGGTACCCTGGGAAAGAGGCTGGCCTGGGTTAAGGAGTGCCTTAAGCATGGGGACAATTTATCTGGGCTGTCAGCTTCTGCTTTAAAGAAAACTGAAGGCCCAACTGTGCAGGTACCACCCAAAAATTAAACCCAGAAAGTGTAGCAGTATTCATAATTAAAAGAAATTAATTAGTAGCAAGGAGCTGAAGTTAAAAAGTAGAGGGATATAGCATCTTACAAGGGTACATGAGAAATTTGCTAGGTGTAGAATATAAATGTCTTAATACAATAACTAAGAAAATGCCATGAAGGATATGTTGACCAGTTTGATGAAAGCATTTCAAATTGTACGTAAAACCAGCACATTGTGCCCCATGATTGCATTAATGTACACATCTATGATTTAATAAAAAAAAAGTAGAGGGATATAAAGAAAAATATCAACTATTGATATCATCAGAATTGATCTGAAGAAAGCCTAACTTAGAGAGAAAGGAGCCACCCCTAACCCTAAGGGAGTAACCCTAACTAACTGACGTAATGAGTCATTGGCTCAGTGGATAATTTTTATGTGAACCTTCAGATATTTTACCTTTTAACTTTTCAGTGACACAGAACATGCCCCATTTTCAAGGCTTAAACTGAGGAATTGAAGCCACACTTCATGTTTGTGGTACTCATTTTGAGAGTTTCCTCGTTTATAAAATGGAGCCACCATTTTAATGAATACTTACGAGAGGCTACCTGATAAGGTTATTGTGAGAGGATCACCAGAGAGAACGCATGTAAAGCTCTTACTACATAGCTTGCTGTACAATATTGAACACATTTTAGCTACTTTAATACAATAAAGCCATTTGTGTTAACGCCTTTAGTAGGCTTCTCAGAAGTTGATGTTCTTCCAGTTAAGAAGTAGTTCTGTTGGGTGCTTTTATATATGTTTATATACACATATGTATGTGCACTTATATGTATGTACAAATATAAGTATCATTATATATTTCACATATAAATATATATGAAAATATTACTACTACAATATTTAGTCATCCGATCCTTTTATTAGGCAAAAGTGGATAATACTTTGAGTCCTACTGGATGACACATTTTGTGCTGGGTTCTTTATATATATTATTTCAGTCCTCACAATAACCCTTTCAGGTAATTGTATCTTCTGTGTAGCAGGAAAATAACTAAGGCTCACAGAGGCAGTAAAGAACAACTTTGACTTTCATGTCTATATTTAATCCTCATAAATAGTGGTTTTGTGGTTTGATATTTTATATATATATATATATATAGATTTACCCTCAAAATATGAAGTGAGTTTTTATTCCCTGTTAATTGAAGCTAAGAGAAATTCCAAAACCGCCCAGGGTAGCCCAGTAAGACAAAGTTATTTTAATCTGCAATACATAGTACTTTCTCCACTCTTTTGCTCTCTTATCCATTAAGATATTAAAGGATAATTTTTTAAAAAACAAAATCATGAGTTCCATATAGATGTAAAACGAACATGTGCCAAAAATTTTATTTAACTTACAAATGACTCAGGGGCCCGTTAATATTATAATAGGGTCAAAGGAGAATATAACATTATCACCAAAAATATGTGGATAAGAAATACTGAAATGAATTTGAGTCTGTTGAGGACTACTAGACACATAACTATTTTTTTTTAAGGATAAGAATGATTTGCATGATTTATTTTTTATAATTTACAGGGTTATAAGATAATTTAAAGATATAAAACAGATATAACCCCTAAAAAGGTGCTTGAGAAGCCTTTCAGTAATATTTTTTCCCCTTTATTTCAAGGTGTTTTGCAATGTTTCCCTTAAAGAGTTTATCTTCCAAAGTCTTAAGTGCTAAATTGTTAACGGAATATTCCTTAGTCACAGCAGTGTTTGACTGAAAAAGCTTCCTGAAATTGAATAACAAAACAGAAAACCTTCAAACAGGGACAAGTCTTAGTCTGTTTGTTGGTTTACAGAAGACCTGGTCATCTCATTCTGGGCAGAAAGCTGTAGACAGTATTCAGCATGGAATTTAGACGTAATATACAGTGACTAATTTTCAGCTTTTGAAATTCTTCATAAAGGATATGTACATCAGACTTTTCTCTCTGCGTAGATATTTCAGTACCTTATCAATTACTTTCTGATTGGTGCAAGACATTATTATGATAATAAAAGCAAGAACAAAAACAACAAAAGGCAATGGAATAACAATCATTTAAATGCTTTTCCTCGAGTATGGTTCTCATCCTTTGCAACACTAATGTTGATGAATGGCTAGAGTCTACAGACTGCTACCTAAGTAAGACGGCTTAAAGCTCAGATGAGTCAATAAAACCACATACATTAAGATATGGGATATTAGGTTTATGGGAAAACATGACTTACACATCACAGGAATTCATCTTATTAGCATTGAAAGTGGTTATTGAGAAATACTGTTATAAATGCTGCCTCAGCACCCATTTTTAGGCCTGACATAAATTATTTGAAATCCAGTCCTACCTTGTCACCTCTGGCATAGCGAAAGCCTTACTTTTCCATGTAGTTGTTTGCCATGTAGCTCACTTGTTCCTTATATCTCTGACCCCTAACACAGTGTACCCCACAGCTACTGACAATGATAAAATGTAATGAAGAGGGGACTTACTTTTTTAAACTAGTTAATCTCTACACCTCCATGGGGAAATCTGAGGGATAATGCCATGGAATGTAATAAAGGCATAGTCTGAAAGATTCCCCCTGTTTCTCTCTCCTACTCTTTGTCCTCCTGTCTTCTGCTCCTTTCTGTCTCTCTTGCTGATTGAACTTCCTGCTGCCCCCAGACTTCCTATTGACATCCCTAACCTCCCTGGGAACTGTGGATAATAAATTTCTTCTGTTACATGCATTTTGCAGTTTTTGGCCAGGGCCAGGTTTAAACCTGCCACCTCCAGTATATGGGACTGGCACCCTACTCCTTTGAGCCACAGGTGCCGCCCTGTTACATGCATTTTGCTTTCTCTTCATTGTGTATCACGTGGCACACATGCACTTTAACCTAGCCTTCTTCCTGATCTGGGCTATCTTGACAGGAATAAACTGGACCGAGGTCAGACAAGAGCCACAAGGGCATCTGCCTATGAATATAGTTTTCTGTGAAGGGTGGTCATGGGCCTAGTGCTTAGGCATTAGGCTGTATATCAGGATAAAGAAGGATCCCATGAAAAACACACTGTAAATATTCATGAAAACATTCTTTGGATTCCTGGTCAGTGCAAGGCTAGAGTATTTGGCCAATTGTAAGAGAAAGACCTCAAGACCATATTAACAAGAAACCATAACAAAAATCATACTAGTGTATGTGTATGTCCCATTCATGGTCATGAAATTGGAGTACAGAATCCAAAAGAATAATTCCACATCACTTAAGTGACATGGGAGTTCTAATTTTAGGCTCATTTTTCAATATAGTTCTATTAGTGGAAATTCTCAGTCAAAATAAAAAGTCATATGAAGAATGACTTGGGCCAACAGAAAACTCCCCTGATTTGTTATTTTATGCCTTTGCTTGCTTTCTTCCTACTCATCCATTAGTATACACCAACCTGCACAATGGGCTCTGTCCTTTCACCATCCTGGGAGTAATAGTAGAGAATAGCATTATAGGGATTCAGTCTGGTGCTTTGTTACTTTAGGAGGTAGAAGTTAGCCTGGTGTCCTATCATTTTTCTTTTCTGCTGCACATTAGAAAAATAAAAGTTGTCTTGGGCCACATGGTAAATGCACAAAGTACTACTGAAAGCTGATGAGCAAAATGAAAGGTCTGTGCATTCATTTTGTGATATCTGATACCAGAGAAAAGCAAAACAGCTCTCCATCGACATGTGGCCCATGGGCCACAGGTTGGGAATTCCTAATAGACCTTCATGTGGATCAACAAAGTGAGTTAACATGAAATATCTGACACATATGAAGTATGGGGAGTGATACAGGATGTCTTCGTAGGACTGACTGAACTCCCAGGCGGTCATTAGTGGAATAGGAATGGGGTTCAGGGTGGAAGCCTATCAGAAAAGACTGTGCAGCCAGGCCTGCAGCTGATTTAGTGTATACAGGATGTTCTGACCCCAACCAAACAGGGAACCTGCACCTGCAAGCTGTCTGACTCAGACATTATATCTCTTTCAATTTAATTTGTGCTTTTATTTCTTATCAAGTTTGTACATTTGTAACTGGTTTTAATCAGGTAGAAGTGTAAAGCTTAAAATAAACAGACCACTTTCTAATTCTTTACATACTTAATTCCCACATCACAGAGGCATCTTCTTTTAAAACTCTTAGCTCTTCCACTATTTATTTCTATATTTAGTAAAATGTTGCTTTTTTAATTTTAGATTTTAAGTATTGATATTATCCATCTCTAACCTTCCACTTGCTGTTCCTGTTCCATCCAATATAATTTTTTGTTAAATCATTCTAAGGATTCTGGGGGGTGGAGGCAAGATGATGGACTGGAGCCAGATTTCCACAGAGGCTCCCATCCAGAAGGAAAGTTAAAAGACAGAAGTTTAGCAAGTAAGCCAATGGTTTGGAGCTGAGCCAAGAGAGAAGGTTAAAGAACACACATCAACCCTTCTGAGGAGAGCTGTGACCCCATAGATACCAATGAAAGGTACAAAATGCATTGCCAAGTGGACGAGAGCCCCCTCCTCGATGAGAAGGGCTGGCAGTATACTCCATACAAACAAGTGAGCAGAGTTCAAACATCCTCCCATTCTATCCTCTAACGGGAGAGAGCCTCTAAAAACTGGACCTCCTACCCCTACTAGGGTGCCACAGCACTCTCCTGCCAGGCATAAAACTGTATATATTCTCTACCTGCAATTCTGAAATCCCAGCACTCCCCTACTCTCACCCTGAGGTCTGGAAGCCTGTCCTTCATGGAGTCCAGATTCTTGGGCATTTTCTTGAGAGGTCTGGACAGGGCAAGGGCTGTTGCTGGTCTGTGCTGATTCTGCGGCACAGGAGTAAGGAGAGAATGGTCAACTGAGAGGGAACCATCCAGGAGCGGTGTTGCCCCGAGGCGCAGAGCAGCAGCTACAGCAGCAGAAACAATAGGGCTCACAACCCTTGGGCTATTCTGGACAGACATGTCCCATCTCTCTGGGCAACCAGAGGAAGCCAGGCATCTTCTCCCATGGCAGCCTCTAGCGGAACAGATCTGGGATGGAAACACAGGCCCCATTGATACCGGATTTTTAACACTGGATTTCCAGGCTCTTGGTCTCAAGGATTCGATGAATGAATCAATAGACCATAGAACGAACAGTGAGGTTTTATTTACAGCTCAAAGAACCAAACCTCCTTGCAGGGCAGGATACAAGTGTTACAACTCTTATGAAAAGAACTCTTACAAAGAGCCAAGCCTCTTTGTAGAGCAGGATAGATGTGCTACAGCTCTTACAAAGGGCTAAGCCTCTTTGCAGGGCAGGATCAGCAGCGGAGGTGTTACAGCTACAGCTCTTACAAAGGACCAAGCCTCTTTGCAGGGCAGAGATCAGCAAAGGGCCAAGCCTCTTTGTAAGGCAGGATCAGCAGTGGAGGTGTTACAGCTACAGCTCAAGTGTTACAACTCCTACAAAGAGCCAAGCCTCTTTGTAGAGCAGGATCAGCACTAGAAGTGCCACAGCTTTCGCTTCTTCTTCTGGACAGTCTGCGATGGTCTGCTGAAGTCTTATTCTTCTGCTTGATCTTCCTCGAAGGTCTGCGATGATCTGCCGAAGTCTGTGATGATCTGCAATCATCTGCCCAAGTCTGCTCAAGTCTGCTCAAGTCTGCCCCCAGGCTCTCTGCTCAGGGCCTTATATAGGTGTAATAGCTTAGCTGTGATTGGTCCATGGACCAATCAGTAGCAGGATTGAAAATGGACCAATCAGGAACAGGATTGAAAATGGACCAATCAGGGATGGGCACCAGTTTTCCCTTGATTTACAGGTCCTCTAGCACTGCTCTACTGGAGCCTCTGGGGGAAGAAAGCTCTCCCGCTTGCCCCAACCTGCCAGGTTTTTTTGCCGGCTGCTGCCACCAAAACAGAAGTGGCAGGTCCCCTAGGCCCTGCTTGGCTGAGCTGGCTGGGGTGCCACTTTTCTGGTATCACCATGAATAAAGGGTATGCCTGAGGTGGTGGCGGCCTGGGAGGAATACGGGGACTAGAATACGTGTGCAGACATGGCAGACTCCCAGGGTGGGGCTGATCCTAAGGACTGCTTTACTGAGCCTAAGACACACCTGACCCTCAGGGGATCATAGCTGAGACAAAGGTGGGCAGGCAGAGGCTGGAACTGATAGCTGAGTGTGAGATCTAACTGTGTCTGCCCCAACACAAACTGCAGCCGAGACCATGACTGAGTTGCAGTTTTTGTAAACTCAAACAGCATCTGATCTGCAGGGGAAGATAGCCAGGACAGAAACAAATTCTGCAAAGTTGTTCTGTTCCGTTATGCTAGCAACATTAATCAGGGGTGGGGCTGGAACTGAGTGAACTGTCCCAGCCTCCATTAAGCACCTGAGATTGTCAGACCTCACCTCTCTCTGATAGATAGTGACAGAGAGTGGTAGCCTGGCTGAGGAGAGAGAGATCTCCCTGTGACTCAGGCAGGTGCAAACTCCTGCAGCATCTGCTCATTGGAGGAAACTGGGTCAGCCCTGTGGGGTTATCATTGACTAGGTGTGACAGAAGTGCAAGGTGGGGAAGGACGTATCAACTTTCCCAGACGAATTTATTTGCTGGGTGGGTCCTTCTGACCTCACAGAGCACTGGAGTGAGTCATACTTGAGCTGCCAGCAGACTCCTGCTATCTAGTTACCCAAGACCTTTGAACTCTCCCACCTGAGACCAGTGCTGACTGGAACAATTGACTTGGATCTCTTAAACTGGGCAATCACCTAAGGACTATCCAAAGTGGTACCCTGGGTGTGTGGTTGTGGGAAGGTTTGATTTTCCTTTTCCAGTTGTTTCCTGTGGGGTGGGGTGGGGTGACTTAATTGCTGGTATTTCTCCACAGCTGAGACTTTAACCCAGAGTAACTGATTCA